TGTTTGCGAATGGGAGCACAAAGTTGTAGAAAGGCGTACGTCGTAGGCATTCGTAATGGGCAGGTGCAAGGTTTACGCCGTCAAAGAAAGACACAATTGACTTCAAACTCCCTCTGAATTGTGAAGTCCACTTACCATGTTTACGTGTCTGTTGCGCCATTTTTCGCATTTCTTCTGTAAAAAGAGGCATGTAAATTTGTTATAAAAAACTTTTTAATAATAACTAATTAACAGAGTTATCAGCAATATATCAGCACATGACTATATATTACTACAACTATGTAGACCCTACACATTTAACAAATGGGCAGAATAGGACTCAATATGACTCAATTATAGCATGTAATGTGGTAATGTGGCTGTATAACTACATATTCTGGCCTAGTCACATATAGTTATGATGGTAATGTGACTATGTAACTACATAATCAGAAACGGTCTTGTAATTAACAAATTACCAACTTAGTTAACATTATTCATCCATGCCAGTGGAGGTCTTTAAACACAGGGCTACAACATGACTCCATATGAATAGACCACAACATCTATTGCTGTGAACTAATATATCAACGCATACCAAACATGACTGCTGCCCCAAAAACTCTGTGTGTACAAAAGTAATCCCATCTGAAACAACAAAATGGATCTAATCTGGATCTACGATCACACATGCAGACATATACAACTAATTACATAAACATGCAGACATATACCATACATTATATCAACATAACTACATAAAACGACTATTACAATACACTAATTTAGTTTCTAATTTTTATAACATACTCAAATCAGAGCATATTTTTGCTGCAAATGTTAAGGAATCAGAACATTATTAACATTGGAATACAACTAATTACATCAACATGCAGACATATGCCATACATTATATCAACATGACTACATAAAACGACTATAACAATACACTAATTTAGTTTCAATTTTTTATAACATACTCAAATCAGAGCATACTTCTGCTGCAAATGTTAACGAGTCAGAACATTATTAACATTGGAATACAACTAATTACATTAACATGCAGACATATGTTATACATTATATCAACATGACTACATAAAACGACTATAACAATACACTAATTTAGTTTCAAATTTTTATAACATACTCAAATCAGAGCATATTTTTGCTGCAAATGTTAACGAGTCAGAACATTATTAACATTGGTTAAATTGCAGTTTGGGCATACATACAGAACACTTTTCACTGAAATCCGAACAACTATAGATTCAATGTGTATGTAGCATAGTCACATATAGTCATGATGCAACCATAAATCATCCCCAGAAACCCCTAAAGTGAAATTAAATTGGATTTATGGGCACAAAATACTATATTTTTTGCAATAATGGTACAAAAATTGATTGGCAAAAACAAAGGATTTAGGTATACACACTAACCGGCATCAAGATGCATAATGTCCTGAGGATTGGGTCTTCGTTTACGCTTCTGTGATGCTTTCTTCTTCATTTCAAAAAGCAGATTCGTATATGACTATCGCAACTCAAATTCACGGGATTATGAATACCGAAACACCACTGAAATAAAACACGACTGTGAATGGGGAAAGTGGGTGGACGATTTTGTAGCAACTGTCTTCGATTTTAGAATGTGACTGCAAATTCGCAACGAGTATTTTGGTTTTTTTGCCAGTTTTTGATTTTGGGGAAAAATCCCAATATGTGCGTCTCCTTTCTTAAGGATGCTGCGGTTTAATTTTTTTTTTCTTTTTAAATGTTTAATTAAGAGCAGTTTATTAGAGAAACTAAATAATTAACCATAAATAGTGGGATTAGGTGCCTTATTAATAGGGATTTTGAAAATAATATATAAATAAAAAAAATAAACGTGAGATGCTACTAGAGGGGTAAGATGGGAATTAAATATTTTAGGGGATTTTCACAAAGGAAGATTTATGGTATGGACTTATCCCTATTTTTTATCTATAAGAGGGGTGTATTGCTAATGACCCCTTATTTATAATAAGTTTATAATCATAAATTGATTCAAACTTAGCATATAATTATTACATAAATTTGGATATAAATTTTTTTATTTGTTAATTAAAAAAAATTAATTTTTTTTTTTGATACAACATCTTGATAAATGCATTAATATTTTTCTTTTGGGAAATTTTTTTTATAAAAAAAAAGGGAACGTCCCCAACTCCCTCTTTAAAATTCCCCCCCTAAGGAAGGTACCTTAAAATAAATAGAAGAATTGACTTGCCCTTGGGGGTTTTAACCCCGGGAAAATATTCCCCGACATTCCTTTTTGCATATCTTTCAGAACAGGTGGTCTCTTTCTCGGTCAGATTTTCCTTCGTCTTGCCCCCCTCCCCCCAAAGCTCATTCTATTTTATTATTATTTTTAGGATTCATCAATAGCACATCCGAGTTATCTTAAATTCGAAGAGAAAATAAATAGAAGAATTTAAACTCAGCTTTGAGTTTATGGAAGGATTTTCTTCTTCTCCCCCAACAAAGAAAACTCTTTGGGGGGTAAATTTATAATTTACGAAAACTTATACGCGTAATATGAGTTTTTGCAAACCACAAGGGCCAAACTAAAATAAACTTTTTACCCTATATAAGACCGACTTCTGAAACTCAACTCTGACCCAAACGCTCCCTCCACTGTAATTCCAATGGAACCCCCCGCAGGCGGTTCCACCTCCACTACGAACATTCCCGCCAACGCAATAACCCCCTCCTCGGCGGAAGATGCACCACCGCCCACCGCCACCGCGGCGCACCGTATTTCCGCAACTTCGCGGCGCTTCCACAATCTACTGGACAGGACGACGCCGTACGTGCTCTACCGGTGGATCGCGCTCCTCTGCATCGCGCTCACGTACGTGGTTCGCATTTACCTAGTTAGGGGTTTCTGCATGATTACTTTCTTCCTCGGCGTCTACCTGCTCGTCCTCTTCGTCCTCTTCATCTCGCCGCGCGAAGCGCCGGAGCTCTCCGATGCCCCGACCCTCCCCGTTCGGAGCTCCGACGAGTTCCGCCCCTTCGTCCGCCGTCTCCCTGAGTTCCAATTCTGGTTCGTTTTCCTATTTCCAATTGTTGCCTCAAATTACGAATTAGGTCATTGTGATTTAAAAAATTAAAATCAACCTGGTATTTTTTTAACACCGAATTGGTACTTTTTCAATTGATTTGATAAATTACTTTTTCAATTGATAGGATTCTGATTTTTCACTTTCAATTTAGTATTAAAACATGCTTACCTATGTATGAAACTTGAAATATTTAAAGGCACTTCCAATTTCCCCCCCAATTTAATATGATCTGTTTGAAAATATGGTTTTAAAGTCTTTGCATCGGGCAGAAGTTTTCCGGAAAACGGTGACGCGGATCGAATTATGCGCTAATTCCGAGGGTGCAAGGGAATAAAATATGATATTTTTTGGGAATTTTATTTTTGTGTGTTGGCTCAATATGCTTAAATTCGGTTATTTATAACCATCGTATAGTTTCGTTGATAGAGCACAGCTCGAGAATTTTTTTTTAGTTAGGATTAAAACTTAAACGTCGTTGAGGTTTGGTTGATGTATTTTCGGAAAACAGAGTGAGAAATATTTATGTAATTGAAATTTTTCGATTTTGTTTGTTGTCTTTTACGTGTAGGCTCGCGACCACAACTGCGTTGTGCATTGCTACACTATTGACATGCTTCAGAATATTCAATGCACCTGTTTTGTGGCCAATTCTACTTGTATACTGGATTTTCTTGTGCACTCTAACTCTGAGGAAGCAAATTCAACGCATGATCAAATATAATTACGTTCCATTTACCTTTGGGAAGAAGGTATTCTTCCGAAATATACTTCCGAGTTTTTTTTGACATTGTTGTTGCATGCCTATTTATTTTCTTTATTATTCAACTTTAATATAAATCGTGTATTTCTTTCAGCGGTACGATCGAAACAGAGAATCTTCTGGGGAGGTGAGAGGAAGAGAAAGCTTGCTTCCTTAGTCTGAAGTTTAGAGGTTAGTAGATTTTTTTTCTTTTTTTTTAAATGGCGAATTGTAAGGATTTATTGAATATCGAATATCTTTGCCTAATTCGAAGCTTTGAAACACTTGCAGCTGCTGAGTTTGGAGATTCCTCGTTTGGCTTCGTAGCGTATCGAACAAATATCAGACACCTACTAGGATTTTTTTTCTTTTTCAAAAGGTATATGACATATGCTAAGAGCGAGAATGAACGTGAAACGGTGAAAATTGGAATTTAAGAGCATTATATATATATTATATACTCTCTAATTTTTATCATACTGCTTGTTGTGTCGTTTATCCGGGTTTTTTTTAGATAAATAACTAGCTGTATATTGGATCTTGATATTTCGAAAGACGACCGAGTATGAAAAATTATTACTAAATTAAAAAAATAAAATAAAATAAGACAACCTTGGAAGCTAAATGCTAGAAAAAACCTTCAAATAAAACTGGTTTGTTTACCAAAGTGCAATACATGAAATTAAATTTTCAGAACATTATGTACAAATCAAACTGCTCCAGACACTGAAACTAAGTCTGATTCTTCATTTTTTAAATTTAAAAAAAATAAAAATAAAAAAGAAGTACAAATTGAGAAGCTTCTCCATATCTCATTCAGCAGCATAACCATAATAACCAAAGTTTGACTTTTTAACTGGATTTTGACCACTCTTTGTAGGATAAGAAGCTTCCACAACAATCCCACATTTGCCCGATGGATCACCGGCAACGTTACGTTCCAATCTAAAGTAGCCGTTTTCACCCCAATCCGGGCCCCACGAATTCCTCACGATCCAATAATCGACCCCGTTTTCCGTACCGTAGCCAACGGCCACCACACCGTGGTCGAGCTGTTTGCCGCATTCGCCGGTGAATACACCCTAAATATATAACCACCAAATTAAATTCCCATTTTTTTTTCAAATGTAAGATATTTCTTCTATTTCGATCTAATTTTTTGAGTCTTGCATTATTAGCATTTTATACAAAATTTAACGTCAAATCATAATCATTCTTGGTTAGTGATTCTTGGACTAATTGATGCACGGAAACGAATAATTAGAACCTAATTAATTTACCGAGGAGTAGAGTTGGAGGGCCCGCCCGGAGGCTTCGATAGCGACGCTAACGGGCTGATGAGCAACGGCCTTCTGCAAGGCTTTCTCATCTTGAGGCACATCTTCATACCCATCGATGCTTACAACCTTTGCATTTTTCTGCAACAATAAAATAATATCGAACAAATTTAAATCATCGTAAAAAAAATCTAATGTTTTCTTATCGGCTAAAAAAAAACTTGGTAAAATACGAACCCGAGCGAAATCGCATTTTCCGTCAATACCCCTGTAAGGATAATCGTCTTCGGTGTCCATTCCACCGTTGGAGATGATGAATTGGAAAGCGTAGTCCATTAGGCCTCCGCTGCAGCCCGCGTTTTCGGATTTATCGCAGTCGACTAATTCTTGTTCGGACAGAGTTAAAAGCTCCCCTGTAGTAATCTTGTTTATACCTTCCACAGCAGCCACAGTTGAGAAAGCCCAACAACTTCCTGTTACATTAATAATCAACACAATGTTTAACATCAATCAAGAAAATCAATGAAAAAGTGAAAATAATGGGAGAACATGTAAATATTTTAAAAATATAGATGGATATTTTTAAATTATATAAAATGTATATGTTGCTATTTACTTGTTTGGGTATACGAAAACCCCCTAAACTTAGGCTAAATACCGAAAAAATGCCCCCACATATCCGTAATAACCAAAATCAATCCCCCTCTGATTAACTGTTGAACAAGTTTAATACCGGAAGTATACTACTGACTTTGTTAAATAAGTGGAAATAAAAGAAAATATTTGAAATTGTGCCTATCAGTGCCGTAACCAACTGACTAACGGTAAATTGATGAAAACGACCAAAAGTATTAAATTATTGAAACATGAGGGACTAAATATATTTTTTGTAAATATGAGGACCAAATGTGGAATAAGTGCAAACTTGAGGGGTAAAAATTATAATTTTTCCGTCAAGAAAATCAATGAAAAAGTGATGGGGGCACATGTAAATAGTTTTAAAATATAGGGGTATTTTGTTAGATTATATAAAATGTATATAATATAAAAATGGCCCAATCACAACGGAGAAGAGAGTTAAAATTAGCTCACCACAAGTGCCCTGGTTCTTGATCGGAGAGACGGCGCCTCTCTCCCTCCAATCGACGGATTCCGGCAACATCTCGCCGGAGCGCAGAGCATACCGGCGGCTAGGGTTCTTGGACTTGACGAACCGGCGCGTGGGGTCACTCCTCGTACCCAGGTACGTGGACCTGTACTCTTCGTTGGTCAGATCTGCGAACTTGTTCAGACCCACCTCGTACGTTCGATTGCCGGAGTTGTGGTCGTCGACGAACTTGAGATTATCCTTAAATATGTCGAACCTTCTGTCCTTCTCTCCAATTCCGTTGTATGCTTTGCCGTGCTTTGCCAGCCAGCTTTCGTACAGTCCCTTCACTTGTTCGTCGGTACGCCGGCCGTGCGTTGGAACGCCGTCGTTTTGGTGTGTTGACTGGGTGGCGCCGATTAGGGCTACGGTGGTGAAGATGGTGAGAAGGGTGGCTGTAACTGAAGGCATGGCTGATTTTTTTTTAGGGGAGAGAATATTTTTTTTTCTGTTTGCTTAAGATTGAAGAAATTTGAGATGATGTGGTGGGGTTTATATAGCCATGAAAAATTATAAATTTGGTAAATTACAAAAAAACCTCTCATTTGGGATAAAATACATCCAACCCCTGCAGTTTGTGCCTGCGAAAGAGTGTTAATATAATGTAAGAAATCCACCAATTACAAAGGAATGGATGTAATTATGTAAAAATGAGGGGTGTTTTTGTAAATAGATCTTACCTCGGGGTGGTGGCTGTAATTTACTCTAAAAATAATTTATTTGCATTTATTTCCTTAGTATATTCTTTTGAAGTTAATTAATTTTTATGCATGAGTAGATGTTAAAGTTAATTTTGCATCTAATTAATAGTAGTAAATACAGTCACTCGTAGATACATTTGATTTGTGCAAAGTATTTAAAAATCAATACAGTGTGTGGTAGATTATACTTGTGAAATTCATCGAGTGAAGCATCGAATAAACTTGACGATAAATGTGTAACCGAATTGTATTAAGACTATTTTTATCTTTTTTATACTTGTTCCATTTTTTGAACTCATGAATATATTTTTGAGTATATATCTAATTAACATGTATAGTTAACACATACATACGTATACTCTAAATGCATTTTTATTTTAACATGATGATTTAATAATTTTTCCAACACTCAAAATTAAAGTACTCTTCAAATAAGTGTCGTATGAGATTATTGCGCACATACTAAGAAAACTTATAAAATTGAACACGATCACGTGATGTTATAGACTCGTAGTTGGTGAAATTATTATTTTTGTGTTGATGTATCAGACTCGACCCAATCTTTCGGTTGAACTATATATTATATATTCATATAAAATCATCTTGATGGGCCAAACTTTCCAAGTTCAAATGTTACTCCCTTCGTTTCATATTACCTATATTTCTAAAAAAAATTACTGTTTTGTTTCATCTTATCTCTGAATTTACAATTTCAATGATATATTAAATTTATTTTTCAGTTCAACTCTATTACACATTAACACTCTCTTATCACTTTATTTAAATATAGCGTAAATTACGAACATTCCTTGAGATACGATTAAATTACGAATAAAACTCTCATATTTGGGTGATTACAACCACGTCTCAACTATGAATCTTTTTACTCGTCCACTATTATGGTGTCAAATTCAACATAATCTTCTAGATTCCGTGAAATGTTCCCTAATTTGTACTCGTTTTGCGCGAAAATGCAGTTTCTGATGCACCACAATTTGATATTCACAAGCCAAGAAACACATCTTACGATCATCTTGTTTCGAAATGTGGAGCTCGAATGAAGTAAAACATGTACAAACTGAAAAGTATTCCGATAATATAGAAGATTCCACTAAATTTGACACTGAAATAATCGACGTGTAAGAAGATTTATAATTTAAGAGTGTGTTTAATTTTTCTTAATTTAACATTACCTTAGGGTAGCCGTAATTTAATATTAAATATATATGTGTAATAAACCAATTAGTAATAAGTTGGACAAAATTCTGAATTGGGTAGAGAAACTTACCACATAAGAAAGGTTGGGTATTACCAAAAAAGGAAAGTAATGAATTGATGATGATTAATGAAATAACGAACCTGGCCTGTTTTCAGGCCTGATGAGGTAGTTGAAAGCCCAAACCGCCAAACTAACTTATCCTTTTTTTGACCCATAGATTCCGATTCCCACTTGCTCTGCCTACAATCTAGGAGGCACATTTATTGAGCCCCAAACCATACTAATCAGAATCTGCCACGTGGATATTTAAAACATTTTTTTTTTTTGTATCGGGAAGAAGCTATTTTTGATGTCTGTATATAGATGTAAGTGCCACCGCTGTTGAGAATTTAGATAATGTATTCATGTCATCATATTTATTTAGACCACCGAAAGTTTATGTGGCCTCTTCTATTGCCCAATCAAATCTTTTCCGAATTATTTAACCAAATTTATTTAACCGGTGAAGATTATATTGGGTGAGTTTTTACGTTCATCTACGCTCACCAATGTAGCATATAAATAGTAAAAATCTACATGGTGTATTTTTCACCCAGTATAACATAGAATAGACCAGTTCAGTACAGTTTAAACATCTCATTTAATTTGTGCATACGGGTACACATAATATACTTAGAGCAACTCTAACGGTAAAATATTAAAATGAATCATATGATACTAATGTCATGACATGCTAGTTTTATTATTTGGATACACATTTACTTCAGCCATAAGCAATAACTGTATATCAATTAAATATAAGTATAAATATATTTCTTAGGATGCACTTCTATATTTCCGGAAAGTCGAATATCAAAATAACTATCAACTGGAGAGAAAATTGTCAATCCAGAAAATTAAATAATTATTGTGATAATATTTTTTCATCGAGACAAAGGTAAATATAATTCATTAAACTCCCAGAAAAGCACGAAATTTGCCTGCAAATTCTGCTGCAGTAGATCACACAAAAACCTGTTGGCACAGAGAGTAACTTCACCCAATTGGCAAATACAAGCGGCATAGTTATGAACTCTCTCTCTCTCTCTTAATAATATCAACTTTCTTTCAGAGCAGACCATCACGGATTCGTTGCAACAACTGTTAATAGAATCTCCCATTTCAATTTAATTTTTCATAGAATCATATATATAATTAGAAAAATAAAAAATAGGGGCAACAAATATGTAAGTAGTGCTTCAAATAATACCACCAAGAATGAAGAAACTGATAAAGAAGAAAAAAATTCCTCACAGCAAAATAAACTGATCAATCCTAAAAAAAATGATGTAACGAAAAATCAAGACATGTGTATTTACCGAACAAGGGTCATTCGTCTCAGTTTTTTTTTTCTCTTTTTTGTTTTCGTGTTATTACCATGTTGAGGGCTTGCTTATAATCTCGAATTCACAGAGTGGTAATAAAATCCTGAGGTTGTGTCGATCGAGGATTTCTAGAAGGTTCTGGAATCTCTTGTGGAAACATGCTCGTCATCTACTAGTACTTTAGCAGTAGTGCTGCTGTGCTTCTTATTGCTTTTTGAACTTCGTTTTTTTCTTGACCCTCGATTGGTTGAATGTTTTTCGGTGTTCTCTTGAACGGTGATTGATTTTTCGACTGAAGATGGGAGTTCGGGTGGAGCATCTGGCCATGGAGTTCGTTTTGCAGGGACAGTGATATCTAAAGGAGGGTCTATTATCCATCTGCAATATGAGAATATATAGAAATTCATTTTTCAAGAAAATATTTATTAATAATTAGACTATACATAGTAGTATGAACTGAAAATTAACCACACAAGTAATTAGCACATATATTCGAGACAAACTCATGATTTCAGTACGGCAATCATCAATATAACATGCAAACAAAAACTGTAACTTAAATTTGGATGTCATAGGTAGTCTTTCGGTTTATATTAGATTAGTCAATAGATCAGTCAAAAGCTAGCAAAGCATGACTGAAACGTAAAAGTAGGAATGACCGGTTAAGTCATGATCGGTAATCAGAGCCGGGCAGGTAACCGTCAATTTAGACATTTTTTTAATTTAAAATAAATTGGGCATTGAGATGAAGATCAACGATGATGATTAAGTGGCTACTGCATGCGAACGGGAAATTCAAACTACCACTCTCTATCACTTAATTTTTTTTTAAATTTAAAAAAAATATATATATTAGAAACCTGAACGCTGCATATTAAGGGGGTATACTAGAGAAATTCAGCATTGTGGGTTGGTTAATTGATGCACATCAATATCAGGCTGTGAGATTATTACATGTAGCAAATAAATCGGTATAAATCTCGAATTAAAATTTAAGCTGCCAGAATCAAAGAAGAAGAGTTGTAAACTAAGTATGAACATATCACGAACTATAGAAAGAGGGTAATCTATTAGCCGCAGGTGCAGAAAAATCTAAAAATGCAGAAGCCTCATTCGTTTACATCACAAATGGCAATCCAATAACGAAAAAGTCGTTTACCAATCAATACCCAACTTCCTTGCCCACAATCCAATAATCACAGATTTCTAGTTTCGCAAAGGTTTATTCCGACTATTATATTGCACAAATTCAGATTATATCAGGAGGACAACTTCAAACGAATAGCTGAAAGCTGACTAAGTCCTTCGCAATGAGCTCTATTGAAATGCCTAATCGGTATACCTACGATAACTTCCAATACTAGACAGTAGAGTCAACAAAGCTGACGATTCGTAATCGAATAGACACTAGATTAGCCGAATATCTTATAAGCGAAAAAAGTGATTTGCAGAAACCCCTCTACTTAAAACATTTAAATGAATGGAACTCCCCTATATTTAAAAAACATTATTTTTCTCGAAAATAATCGCAAAGTTACAACCTCTAAGATAATAGTACATAGAACGAGCATCACCCCCAACGAATCAAATCAAATTTCAAAAACTTGATGATAAAATGGTAGAAATCGAACCTGGCAGGGAATTTGCTGTCTGCACGCGCCTCAACGCGAAGCCACCACACCATAACTTTTCGCCCACAGTCACCAAGAGGCTCCACTACCGAATCATCATTCAAAAACGATAATGGACTTTCAACATCATCTCCATCTCTATCAACATCGTCAAACTCCTTAACCCAACCAGGCTTATCTGTCATGTCTTCCCAAAATAACCTCGAATTCAACACAAACACGGCCCACTCCAACTTTCTTGGCAGAACAACCGCCCTGTCACCAATATACCTCGCGCTCCTATCAACGAAGGGCCGTGTATCGAAAGTGTGCAATCCCACCAAATGGTTTGAAGAATTACAAGCTGGTCCTTGAATTGGGAGTTTTGAACTTTTTTCATCCTTTTGGCTATCATCTATCTTGTTGATAATCGATAATTCTCCGTTTTCTTCAGAACCTCCCAATTGTGCAAGAATCCCAACCGAAACAGCACCGATCCATTTCACTTTCTGGATCTCGTCAAACAACTCCAAAGTATGCATGTTACTGTCATCCGCGAACATTACAATCCCATCTAACTTCCTTTCTCTAACTACTCTGCGCATTTTGAAACACCGAAAAACATAAGCAATTTAATCTAAATCAATGCAAGAATTAAACAAAAAGGAAAGGCGCATATTAAGATATACCTTAGAGCGTGGAGTCTCATCTTCGATTCGAGCTTATGCCGATCCTCCCAATAAACAGCCATTTTACGATCGAATCCGATGTGGATGGTTTTCAACCCCGAATTCGAAATCAGTGAGGCGGTTTCGTTGGTGGTGCCGCCAGCTTCGACGACGATCCAGATGAGATCGTAGGGCACATTAATCAATGTGTGCATCACTCCGGTGAGATGTAGGGTTTGAAAAGTCCGTACATAAGTTGGGGTGACGGCAATCACAGTTCTAGGGCTCTTGAGTCCGTACTGTGACCTCTGCTCAAACTGAACCCTCTCGATTATTCTGTGCGCCGTCATCACCTCCGCCGGATCCGGATGCGGCCACGGCCGAATCAGAATCCCGTGCCTCCCGACCACCACTCTGCTACCATCCCCAGCGGCGGAGACGTTCCTCTCCGGCGGCGGCGCGGCGGCGGTGGAGGAAGGTAGAGTTGCTCGGAGCGCGGTGTATATGGTGGTGGTGGTGGTGGTGGAAGGGGACGAGGAGGTGGCGAAGAGGAGGAAGAACACGAGGCGGGAAAATCGGAATCCGAGGACTAGGCTAATCAAGCAGCAGAGGCCGTGGAGTACCAGCCAGAAAATCGTCGCCGGCGATTTAACGGAGCCGTCAACTGCGGCGTCCAACGGCGACGCCGCGCTGCGGAAGCTGTTGCTACGGCGGGCTTGCTGCTGCAACGCCGTCAGTTGCTTCATTCCTCCGTCAAACAAAACCCCCAACCAACAACTGCTACTGATTGATTACCAAATGCAGTTTCTAGAGAGAGAAAGTGATGACAAATGAGAGTGGGTTTGAAGAAATTGGGGGTGAGATTTGTTGAAGGTGGGGTATAAATTGATTGAGAAGATTTCTTCGATTTTACGATTCAATTGTTTAAACTCTCTTTCAGCTTCCATTTCCAGTTCATCTTCTTCTTTCATCCTTTTTCTACAGTAATTTTAATTAATTAATTAATTACAGAAGCCCGAATAAATCGGGGCTCCAAATAGTAATTATGGATTTAAATTTAAATTAAAAGGGGAAATTACGGATATGGATGGAATATTGGTCAAAATGAAGGGTAGTTCTGGTTTTTACTACGGTGGGTTTAAGGACTAATTTGCAATATAGTGAACACTTGTTAATTAAGTGATTAAGGTAATTGGATTAGCATTTAGGTGGTGTTTGCAAAAGCTTTTTGAAAGTGATTATGAGCTTTTTTTGTCCATAATCTGTTTTCATGTGTTTGCAAAATCAACTTTTGCTTTTGCTTCTCTTAAAATAATCTGCTTTAAGCTATTTTTTTTAAAGCATCTCTAACCTTGTTTTTTCTAGTTAAGTTCATTTTCCGGAATATTTGCAAGCACCCCCAACTTTTAAAAATAAACACTTAAAACTGACTTAGGTGGTGTTTGTAAATGATTATTTAAAAGCAGAAGTTAGTGATTGTGGGTTAAGGTGGTGTTTGCAAATGCTTTTTGAAAGTGATTATGCGGTTTATTTTGCTCATAATCTGTTTTTAGGTGTTTGTTAAATCAACTTTTGCTTTTGCTTCTCTTAAAATAATCTGCTTTAAGCTATTTTTTTAAAAGCACCCATAACCCTGTTTTTTCAATTTTAGTTCATTTTCCGAAATATTTGCAAACACCCCCAACTTTTAAAAATAAGCACTTAATACTAACTTAAATCACAATCACTAACTTCTACTTTTAAATAATCATTTGCAAACACCACCTAAGTCAGTTTTAAGTGTTTATTTCTAAAAGTTGCGGGTATTTGCAAATATTTCAGAAAATGAACTTAAATAGAAAAAACATGGTTAGGGGTGCTTTTAAAAAAATAGCTTAAAGCATATTATTTTAAAAGAAGCAAAAACAAAAGTTGATTTTGCAAACACCTGAAAACAGATTATGAGCAAAAAAAAGCTCATAATCACTTTCAAAAAGCGTTTGCAAACACCACCTTAACTCACAATGCTTTTAAATAATCATTTGCAAACATCACCTTATTATCTAAAGTTGCTTTATTAGGTTAATGGTCAATTATCAAATGAGTTGAGACGTCATATTTAAAAAATACAAGACAAAAATAAATAGACCACACGAATTATGAGGGAGGTTGGAAACTTCAACATCATTAGTAATTAATTACACTATAGTTTATGGAGTATTGTATTTCCACATTTTCGAAAAAAAAAAATCAATTTTATTTTCCGAAAAAAATTTAGATGATTTTTAGTAGCTTGAATTTATATTAAAAGATTGGAATTATATTATGAAAAAGACGAGATCGACAAAATGATATTTTTTCGGAGTTTTTTTTAATCGATTTTATAGATGTTATATTAAATTAATTATATATCGAGTAGCATATGATCATGACATATACGAACGAGCTTGTAATATCGTAAATCGTAATATTTTGACGCTTTATTTGTATGAAGTGTGATTATACATAATTAATAACTATATGGCTTAGTTATAAAACAAACATTCCTTTATTGGTGGAGCATATGCATAAAAAATAAGAAAAATGTGTTCAAATGTGATATAGTATTCATCATTCAATATTTTATTCGATCTACTTCTAAATCAAGCAACGTTTTGTGTCTAAGTTCAAACATTAGTTGTCTTTAATTATCGATATTAAAATGTATTACTGATAAATTACTGATTCGCCCTGAAAATGCTTTGTCTGTTGTAACTTGTAAGTCACTTCACAGTTACTATGGAAGTGAAAACCTCAAATCGTCGAAAGTAATGTACTATAAAAAAGAGAAGGCCGAACCGACGCCGGAGTTAGCACAACGACGATCAAGTAAGTAGAAGAGACAGTGGACAGTTTTAATGATGGATTCATATACTTTAGGAAAGACACGGACTCACCAACTTATGCATGTAAAAAAAACTTACCTTCTTCAGGAAAGAGGAGCTCCCAGTTATAATACTATGATCCAAGCCCTATCAGTCCATGAAAACTGGGGCGAACGTATACCTATTGCCAGGGGTGGACCTAAAGTATGTCTTGGAGGGCTCCCGCCCCTGCAGAATTTTAATTTTTACCTGTTTTATTATTATTTTTAATATTTTATGTTATTTGTCTATTAGTTTATGTACTTTAGCCCTCCTTCCACAAAGTTAAAATTTTATACCATTTTAGCCCATAAAAAAATTCTAACTCCCCCACCCAAAACTCCCTGGGTCCGCCCTTACCTATCACCGCCCTCGTCATCCCCTTTCTACATTCTTCGGGCAATTCGAGCCATCATTGTCATATAATCGGTCATTGTCGCCTCACATGATTACTAGGCGGGTAGCCTTTTTGGACGTTTCCTTGAACTCTCATCTTTTTCCGACTATCATCAGTCGTCCGGGCAATAAATGCCGGTGTCAGTGTGTGTGGGGATGTGGCAACCAAAGTCATTTAATGCGCCTGTCTGTACTTATCAGGGCATATATGCTCTTGGAGAGAGCCATCGGGGTGTTTCCCCAAGAACCGTATGCCTGCTCGGTCCTCGGCAACTCGCTCCTTTTGATCGGTCATATCAAGAAGGGAGGAGTCTTTGGCGTGGGCTATTTTTTAGACCGCACACTTTAGCGGGTCTTGTTGTGTCGTTATGCCAAGGCTTTGGGTGGGCCTTAGGGGACCTCGTCTCATGGGCTGCATTCTTGTTCGGATCAATTACCTTTTTCTAATTTGGGCCTTCACCTAAAAATGAAGATTGAACCAATACTAAAATTATTCACACTAATCCTCGCATATATGATAAAAAAAATTATTTTAATCATTTTTTCTTAAGATAAAATGAGTTAAATGTGATGGTAATATGAAATTTATATTGTCTAGTACTACAACTACAAAATGTGAAAATATATTTATATAAATTTAATCTTTTATAATCGATATATATGAAAAAAAAAGCCCCTAAATTAAATGCGGGATGTGATAAACTTCGTTTCAGTTTTAATAATATTGTTTCAACTTCAAACGTAATTTTGACCATTTTTTAATCTGAATTAAGCAAAATTCAAAACACAAAATCTGTAGTTCTTCGATTTAGTTTTTAATCCAACTTGAATCACCAAAATTGGATACCGAATGAGAAAGTTATTCATGAATCAATGAATACTTCCCACAAATTTAATAATTTGAGTTACCTAAAATTCAAAACGTAACTCATTCATGGCATAACTTTATCACCCGACACCCAAATTCCCTAAATCATATTGAATTAGAAAACTAACACAAAGAACTACAATTTTCGTGTTTTGTATTTTGCCGAAATCGGACTAGAAAATTGTCAAAATTCTATTTTAAGTCAAAACAGTATTAGTAAAATGCAAACTCTATTTACCATATGGTTAGTAATTTGTTAGTGTCCCTGAAGAATGAGTAACAGTCAGTTAGCACACGCACACAGTGAAGGAAGTTAAAAAACCGCTCAGTAAAAAAAAGTAGAAGTTAAAAAAGCAGAAGTTAAAACCGCTCAGTAAAAAAAAGCAGAAGTTAAAAGTTAAAACTTTTTTAACCTAATAACCACTCGCGCTTAAACTACACACGATTCAGGGCTTATTCCAACCCAAAACCCCTAATTACACCACCACTCAAAACTTATACGGCGGCGGTTCGAATCTCCGCCGTCGCCACCTCCTCCGGCACCGCCTTCGCCACCTCCTCCGGCACCGCCTTCATTGGCCCATGAGATTCAAGCCACTTCAATCTGCATCTCTATTCACCAAGTTCCAACTGAACCTCAAATCGGAGCCATCGTTTTCCCCTTTCAACACGTTCATCATGGCTTCCCAAATTCAAACCCTCTCCTCACAAACTCCAGCCACTAACGCCGATAACGACGGCGACGACACTCTCTGCTCTTCTGTAATTACCAATTTGCCCTCCGAGCCAGAAGCCGCCGCTACTTTGGGCCGTCCGATTGGGTACTTGACCGGAGAGGCCCACATCGAGAGGGCATGGGCACACTGGAACAGTTTGGGCCGCCCTAAACTCATCGTCGCTCCGATGGTGGACAACTCCGAGCTTCCTTTCCGGATGCTCTGCCGGAAGTACGGCGCGCAAGCCGCTTACACGCCGATGCTGCATTCCAGAATTTTCGGCGAAAGCGAAAAATACCGTTCCGAGGAATTCACCACCTGTAAGGTGTGTTTGTGTTTTTGTTTTTGGATTTTGCATTTGGTTATTTTTAATTTTTTTTACTGATTTTTTTTTTTTTTTGTGTGAAATGATAGGAAGATAGGCCGTTGTTTGTGCAATTCTGTGCAAATGATCCAGATATTTTGCTGGAGTCGGCACGAAAGGTTGAGCCTTACTGTGACTACGTCGACATTAATTTCGGGTAATTGTTCGATGAT